AAAAAAAAGCAAAAAAACATAATCTATTATTCACTCCCTAGGATGCAGACTAAAAACATATAACAATTTCAAAAGGTACAATATAAAAAAAGGAACATAAATTAAGTTATTGTAAATTTTCTACGAATTAAAATAAACATAAAATATTAGAAGAATTTTGGGTTATTAACAATACTCAAATCCTGGCAGTGGCTTCTCAGTTTCGACTTTCGAGTAGGTTCGTACTATATTTACGCATCTGGTTGGCCTGAATCTCTCTTTGATTCCTAAGTAACTTAATCCTTGGTATTATGAGTTTTAACAAAGTCTTACAACAAATTTGTGGAGGAACTAAAAAAAGAAAATTACAACCCGCAACTGACCCTCTACAAACTTCCTCCTAATCGCTAATCTTCACCGCGTACCTGTTCATATGCGCCGGAGAAATAAGGACATCGCTTGCCGGAGGCGGCGGAGGTTGGCGACCACGTGCTGCGGGAATATTCAGAGAGGATCCGAGGACGGCGGTGGTGCTGAGTGGTAGGGGCGGTGAGAGAGTCGGGAGATTGGGAGAGAAATGTTCATGTTTGTGAAAATATCTTGCAGAAATGAGAACAAAAATGCTTAATAATTTAACCTAAACGACGTCGTTCCTTTTCGAACAATGCGATGTCATTTTGAAGCCAAAAGCGGCGTTTTTCATTAAGTATGCCACGTGTCACGCAGGTAAGGCAAGAGCTTCCTTTATATATATATACTAGGAAACTTACGACTGTGCACAGCACAGCCGGCCCAATAATTTTTCTCTTAATTTGGAACTCTTATCTTTAGAAAGTTTGCAACAAATTTTAATATAATAACAAGAAATAAATTGTATTTCAAATTGGCAAAAGATAAAAGAAACTGGTCAGAATGTATGACAAATGAGCAACAACAGCTAAAACCTCCTAGTTTAATAGTTAAAGATGGAGCAACTGGAGGGATTATAGGGACAAAATAAACTGAAAGGTACTACAAGGTTGTAAGCTCGTATTGCAACTTTTGTCAAATTATATAAATATTTCCTGCACATAGACCAGACCTGTTGGTGTATTCTTTCACTAAAAGTGTAAGTATGCCCTTCTCCTGGCAAGCTTCACAGCACCTCCAGCTCGAATAGACCGGACATTTTTTTTTTTTAATCCTGAAATAAGAAACCAAATGATCTCAATTAATCATGCGATAAGTTAAAATTTTCTAAAACATAATTATATTTGAATTCTACATCAACAAAAGAATAAGGTTGTCTGGTACATTTCCTAAAATTGTAACTATCAAATAAAAATAACTATAATTATGTCTTCCGTGTGATTTACATAATAACAGAAACATCTCTTGTAACATATTCAATAATAAAGATAAATTAATAGGAACCAAACCACCAAAAATATTAGATTAGCATCTATTGACAAACTAAATTGATGCGGGTTTTGTCCAAGTTAACCCTTTTCCTTACCTAGTTCAAAATCTCTATTGCTATTCTTTATCTAGCAATTTGATATCTTTAGTTTCACCACACACACCGGAAAATTTTGTTTTATTAGATGTTACTTATTCGTGTTACAGAGAATTGATACTTGATGTGGACAAAAAACATCAATAAAGAGAGGTAAAACAATAAACATGAAACTGGCGAGAATCTTGAAAAACACACAATGCACATTTGGACAATGATGTCCCATTCTAATCCAAGAAATCTTTGGCAACTTTCAGTTCATCAATTGAGGTCAAACACATAACCCAACTACGATAATAAAATCGAAAATTTTTTGACATAAATAATGAGTCAAAGAGGAAGTTTAACAGGTGGCACTACCCGAGTGTTTAACCTTTATAATTTTCTTATTTATAATAACAATTACGAACTCTACCACATAAGCACTCCAAGGAATAACTACAAATTAAAAATCCAACATATGATTTGCAATCAATAGTCAACCTCCAATAATTTTCTAAAGGTGCAAAATCAAAGTTTGGAAGAGCTAAATTATTATTTTTTTTTTTCAAATAAGTAAATGTAGTATGCTGGAATTGACAATTCAAATCACCTCGAGTAAACCTATGTCTCCAGTATCAAGCCAGTCTTCGAGGCCCGGTTTCGAATGATTGGATTTGGATGTGCTTTGACCCCAGTAACCGAGCATTACGTGTGGACCCCTCATTAGTATTTCCCCGGTTTTTGAAGATTTTTCGTCCGGGCTTATTTTTAGTTTGACATGTGTAGCCGATTGTCCTACACAAATGCCTCCTTTGAAACTCGAGTGGTATTTCTGATGGGTCGTTTTGGTTGGGTCGAAAAGAGTCATGAAGGTAAGAGACGAACATGCCTCTGTCATCCCTGCAGCAAATCGAAGCATAAAAAATTATCTGCGGTGTAATTATACTTTTTGTTTTTAATCTATTTAAAAAATATAATCATAATCGCATTGAGATTTTAATACATGATTATGAATATATACACACCATAAGCTGACATAAGTGTGGCACTCAGAAAAATTTCGATTGTGTCTTTAGTGAGCTCGGTCGACAGGCCACCACCTCCATTCAGAATCTTTTTAACCGACTCGTAAGTCACTGATGTTCTGTTTAATCTGAAAAAAAAAAGAAAAAAAAAGTTCTTGGCAGCTCAATATATAGATAATGGCAAAATGAATAAACTGCAAATATTAAGAAATTTAAAAAACATCTTATATTAGTGGGGAAAAAAAAAAACTCCAATAATATTCATCTAAGAATTTACTGTTTGTTTACCGATTAAAAGAGATTAAATCGGCCATCAGTGCCGGTACAGTGATCAAGGGCGTCACATTGTGTTTCTTAATGACTTCAATTGCTAAATTAGCCTCGAACTTTGGTAATATAACATGAGAACCCCTGGCCATCTAAACGGCCATTGCTGATGATATTCCGCCAATGTTGCACAGTGGAGCTGTGTGAAGATATACCTGCAAACAGTTTGCAAATTCCAAGCTTTCAATAAACGAGAGCGCCAAAAAAACTTATTTAAAATAAAAATGCAAAATCTCACGGGGAAATAGTATACACACATCATTTTCGTCATAACGAACAATTGCAACTTCCGCAAGGGATTGCACAACGAGAGCCGAGTGACTTATTGTAGCTCCTTTCAGCTTCCCAGTTGTCCCTTTGATCATAAAAAGAGAAAAAAAAAAGCACAAGTCTTCCTTAGAAAGTCTAACCAACTAACATGGAAACAGAACAAAACAAAGATTTCATCAACAACATCAACAGACAAATAATAATATTTACAATGACAATAACTCGTTTATACCTGACGTGAAGCATATAATCGCGGCTCTTTCAGGTGCCCATCTACAGTCTACATCAGCAAATCCTCCACCAATCTCCTTAACTAATTCAGATGCGAAAACTGTAATCCAAGACAAGAGATGCGTGAAATGTAACATACATAATACATAGAAATATGAAACCAAATCACAATGTATGTCGATAAAAATCAAATATACTTGTCCTGTTACTCTCAGCTTCAATTT